GGGGGAAATACAGCTATAATCCAAAAGTTATACTTTCTAAATTTATATTTATTAAATAAAAGTTTTCTAAAAAATTCTCTTCTTGGCCTTTTGGCTAGGATTAAGTGTGGTATTATACAAACAAAATCAAGAAGGTACAATAGTAGCCAGCAGATCTTTTGCCCAGAGAAGCCATACAAGGAAATGGGAATTAGACTTTCACTTACTTCTAAGGCTATGAGACATATTTCAGAACAAAGATAAGCATATTTTCAAACACAGGCATCTTAAACTTAACATGACTAAGCAGTGCTATTCCTTCTCAGTCCTCTACCAGTCTACTCCATCTGAATAAATAACCTCACCTCCCAACATACCAAGCTAAAGCCCCTAAGAGTCCTCTTTGATTTTTGTTACTTTAATCTTCAATACACAATCCATCAACAAGTTCTGTAAGCTCCATACCCAAATTTATCAGCACTCTATATACACTTCTCTTCCTCAATCTCCACAGCCATTATCATAGTCCAAGCCTCCATCACTTCTGTTTAAACTGCTAAAATATTCTTCATGCTTTTATTCTTGGTCTTTCCTAGTTCATTCCACACAAAGCAGCCAGTTGATCTTTTTTTTTTTTTTTTCATTTTACGGGTAGAGTTAGACAGTGAGAAAGAGAGAGACAGAAAGGTCTTCCTTCCGTTGGTTCACCCCCCAAATGGCTGCTATGGCTGGTGCGCTGTGCCGATCGAAGCCAGGAGCCAGGCGCTTCCTCCTGGTCTCTCATGCGGGTACAGAGGCTCAAGCACCTGGGCCATCCTCCACTGCCCTCCCGGGCCACAGCAGAGAGCTGGACTGGAAGAGGAGCAACCGGGACTAGAACCGGGCGCCCATATGGGATGCTGGTGCCGCAGGCGGAGGATTAACCAAGTGAGCCACAGCACCGGCCCCATGCCAGTTGATTTTTTTAAAAATATAAATCTCGGGGCCAGCATCATGGTGGAATGGGTAAAGCTAACACTTCTAATGCTGGCATCCCTGAGTGCTGGTTCGAGTGCTGGCTGCTCCACTTTGGGTCCAACTCCCTGCTAATATGCCTGGGAAAGCAGCAGAAGATGGTCCAAGTACTTAGGTCCCTGTGCCCACATGGGAGACCTGGAAGAAGCTCCTGGCTTGGCCTGGCCCAGCCCAGGCAAATATGGCCATCTGAAAATGAACCAGCATATGGAACATCTCTCTCACTCTTGTCTCTCCATTTGTCTGTAAGTCTTTCAAATAAATAAAGTAAATCTTTATATATATATAAATCCTATCATAACCCTCACTTGCCCCAAACTCTTCAATGACTTCCCACTGCTCAGAATGAAATAAAAATTCTTCATGATCCTTTACATTAGATCTCCTATTGTTCACAGACTCTCTGCTTTGCTTGCTACATTCCAATCATGACGACTTTCTTTTTATCATGTATGACTTCTGAACCTTTACATGTGTTATCTTCATGGAGTCCGTCTTACACTGCAGTATCTCACAGTTAAGGCATTAACTCACATGTAATCTCCTCAGAGATACTTTTCCTTCCTAACTTTAACACTATGTAAAGTGGCTTCCCCATATTTGCTCTGCATACTTCTTTCACAACTTTTACCACACTGTAGTTGTCTGTCTTGTTAACAACAAATATGTTTCCGGTACAAGAAATATGATAGATGGGTCTGGTTTTGTGGCATAGTGGGTTAAGCTGCCTGCAACACAGGCATCTCATATGGGTGCTGCTACACTTCCAATCCAACTCCCTGCTAATGTGCCTGGGAAAGCAGTGAAGATGGTCCAAGTACTTGGACCCCTACCAGCCACATGGGAGACCTGGAAGAAGCTCCTGGCTCTGGTCCAGATCGAAGCTGGCTGTTGTAGCCATTTTGGAAGCGAACCAGCAGATCAAGCTCACTCTCTCTCCCCCCCGCTGTTAACTCTGCCTTTCAAATAAATAAATAATTTTAACAAATACGATAGTGAAAAGAAAAGTATTGCTTTCACAGAGCTAATATTTTAGTAGAGCTAAAAAACATAACTTTATTTTGTGAAAAATGATATGAAAAACAAAACAAAAAGTTTGTAACGTGTTTGGTTTGTGTTTGTGTGTAATTCAACACAATGACATTGTAAGTAGGTTGTTGGGTCTGAGCAGACTTGAATAAAGGAAGTAAATGAAATTTTGGAGTAATTCTCAATGGATAATTTTTTAACTTATTTGTTGACAGTCTCTCCTGCTAAAACATAAGTTCTATGAAGTCAGGGATTTTGACTATCTTACATGCTGCTGTATTCACCTTAATACAGTAGCCTGGAAGGATAAGCATCTCTGAGTGAATGAAAACCTACGTTAGGGCTGGCGGCACCATGGCTCAGAGGGTTAACGCCCTGGCCTGAAGTGCTGGCATCCTATATGGATGCCAGTTCTAGTCCTGGCTGCTCCTCTTCTGATCCAGCTCTCTGCTATGGCCTGGGATAGCAATAGAAGATGGCCTAAGTCCTTGGGCCCCTGCACCCATGTGGGAGACCCAGAAGAAGCTCCTGGCTCCTGGCTTCGGATTGGCACAGTTCCAGTTGTTGCGATCAACTGGGGAGTAAGCCATCAGATGGAAGACCCCTCCCTCCCTCCCTCCCTCTCTCTCTCACCTCTCTCTGTGTAACTCTTTCAAATAAGTAAATAAATCTTAAAAAAAAAAAAAAAAAGGAAACCTACTTCAGTTTTTCAACAACCCTACTGGAGAGAAGAAAAGTATAATAAAAAATGGTTTTTGTTAATTTATTTATGGTCGCGGTTCAATCCTCTGCCTGCGGCGCCAGAACCCTGGGTTCTAGTCCAAGTCGGGGCGCCAGATTCTGTCCCGGTTGCCCCTCTTCCAGTCCAGCTCTCTGCTATGGCCCAGGAGTGCAGTGGAGGATGGCCCAAGTGCTTGGGCCCTGCACCCCATGGGAGACCAGGAGAAGCACCTGGCTCCTGGCTTCGGATCAGCGCGATGCACTGGCTGCGGCGGCCATTGGAGGGTGAACCAACGGAAAAAGGAAGACCTTTCTCTCTGTCTCTCTCTCACTGTCCACTCTGCCTGTCCAAAAAAAAAAAAAAAAAAGACATTTATTTGAGAGGTAGAATTAGAGAGAGAGGGAGAGACAGAAAGAGGTCTTCCATTTGCTGGTTCACTCCCCCAAATGCTCCCAACAGCCAGAGTTGGGCTGATCCGACACCAGGAGCTTCTTCCAGGTTTACCGGGCACTCTGGTCATCTTCCACTGCCTTCCAGGCCATAAGCCATCTAGGGAATGAATCAGCGGATGGAAGACCTCTATCTCTCTCTCTCTGTCTCTACCTCTCTCTACAATTCTGGCTTTCAAATAAATCTTTACATTTTTATTTACAGTATACAAATTTCATGTATTTCCTATATACATATACAGAAACACAGTGATGCTTCCCATCCTATAATCCCTCCCACCCACACACCCACCCTCCTCCTCCTCCTATTCCCATTCTTAATAGCATCAGTAAGCCAACTTTTGATCCTCCAATTTCAAAACAAAAAAAACAACATACATAGCACTTCCTTTAACACAGGCTGCACCACTCAGCCTCTGGACAGGTACTTATTCTACCCAACTTGGAAAGGAGCAGTATGAAAAGAACCCAGAAAAATGCCCAGCTTTCCTTATTAGGAATCTCATATAAAGCTTTTATCATTTTTAGATAAAAGACTGCCTTGCATAAAGAGGTAAGATTCTCCTCCCACACCTCACTATATTCAACTAGGAAGAATTAGAAAATTGTTTCTCCACCTCTTTTAGTCCCTATTTATTCATAAGATAAATGCTGAGTACCTACTATGTTCCAGGCACTGTTCTAGGTCCTCTTAATAAATCAGTAAGAATACCTGTCCTTCAACACTTTCCCTACAGAATCTGTTAACCACTAAGATATTTTAAATTGTAATTTTTAAATTCCATGTTTCTAAACGGTTATTTTGTACAAGAATCTCATGATATACTGCATATGAAAATCAACTTTGCGAAATTATCCAGGTGGTTCTTTATAGAAAATACTGCAGAGCCTCATTTTCCTAAACACCTTATTTATAAACTCAATCACCAGAGTAAACAGTGAACTCAAAGTCACTTAAGCAATAACATTTTAGGTTCTTAGACAAAGAAATCTAGATGTGTTTTGGGGGGGTTCTTATAGCTACACGGGCAAAACGCCAATATTGTTACCCACTGCCACCATTCCCAACAAAAACATTCTCACAAAGCTTTTAAGACTGGCCCTTAACAGTAAATGTTTAACTTTCCCTCCCAAGAGAACAGAAATGGAAACACCCAAACTTTGTCTATTAAATTAGCTTTTGTAACGTCCCAAAAATGACATTGTGAATCTCATTCTCTTTTTTCTGACACACAATTGCAGAAAATATTCTTACGAAATGTGTGTTGCTAGTAAGATCAAACAAGGCCAGGCCTCACTCATTTCAACGCTGGCTGCAAAAAGCAGCCCGGGGCTCCGTGTAAACAGAAAGCCCAGGCGATATAAAACCTAACCCGAGAACTACAGCTCCCCTTCCTCCCCACTGACCCCCCAATTCTACCCAACCCTTAGCCACGGGAAACTTTCCATTAATATCAGACGAGACTCGAATGCAGTCTGTCCTCATCGTTAGGCCACCGCCAAAAAGGGCAAAAAAAAAAAAAAAAAAAAGTCACAGACTTCTATGCGCACTCTCAAAAGACGCCCACCAACTCTGGCTCGCAGCCGATCCACCGGCGCCCCACGGCCATCCCTGCTCGCTGCCGAGCCTGGGCAGACTCGAACCCCGCGCGCTCACAGCACCCTCCCTCCCCGCCATCGCCCACCCCTCGTACCTCCGCAGTCCCCCAAGCACACCCTGTGTAGATAACTGAATATCCGGAGTTCCGGGGCTCCCGTTTTCCTTTATTTCCCCACCCCTTGTCTCGCAAGAGCAGAAACAGACGTACCTTCCAGAAAAGTAATCTCCCCAGAGCTACCGCCGCTCTTGCCGGCCGCCATCTTCCTCCTCCCACGCCGCCGCCTCCTTAATCCATGGCCCACACCGCCTCCGTGCTCGCCAGGATGAGGGGCCGAGCCGCCGGAGGGTAGCCGCCGCAGGGCTGCTGGCCTCGGGCTCAGCCGTCAGGCAGGCGGCGCTCCCACGTCCAGGCGAGGCCTACACAAAAGCAGGCCAGGCTCGCCCGGGCCTTTCCGCGGGCTGGCGGGCGGCGAGCGCGGCCTGGGCTTCTCCTCAGGCCCCTCCGGGGGAACGCGAGCGGCGGCGGCGGCGGCGGCGCTTCCCGGGCCCGGCTCCTCTCGGCCCACGACTCCCCATCCACCGCCCACCCAGGCCGCCTGAGAAGCCTCCGCCGAACGCAGGCCCCAGGAAGGGAAGATGAAGGCGGGCACACAAACACGCCTCCTTTCGGCCCAGGCCGTAAAATGGCCGCACCCGCCGCGCCGGGGCGGCGAAGGCTCCGCGACCGTCAGGCACCCCCGGAGCCTTCGCTTCTTCTGCAGTCGCCGCCGCTAAGGCCGCCCGCCCACCCCGCCTAGGGGTGAAAGCATCAGCGGAGGCATTTGCGGCTGTCCATGTGGACAGGGGTGGGTCTCCTCTGCCACTGCCTCGCGTCGGTCGCCACAGCAGCTCCGCCGCCGCCGCTCCTCCCCCACGGGCGCTGGAGCTGCCGCCCGGCTCCCGCCCCCGCCCGCCGCCGCCGCCGCCGCCGCCGCCGCCGCCGCCGCCCCCAGCGCGGCTCCCGCTCAGGACCCGGGCTCCGCTTCAGGCACTGCGGGCTGTGGCGCCGCAAGGAGCGCCGGCTCTGGGCGCCCGCCGCCCGCCCGGCCTTTCGGTAGCGGCAGCTTCTCCGGCGCCGACTGGGCTCAGACAAGCTTGGCCCCCCAGTTCGACCCTCGAAGGCCCCATGGCAGACGTGGCCAGCGAGCGCTTCCTAGTTGGGCCAGTGGTACATTGAGTGTTGTGGCAGAAATGTTCTAAGTTTCTCTCTTTGAGGAGACCGTAGAGTTTAAACCATAGCCAACTGAAAAGGTGGTGAGGTGGAATAATTACAGGTTAAGAGCATGACTCGGTCGTGGTCCACATTCGTTGTTAAAGAAATTTAAGATTATGTATGAGAAGGTTTTACCAATACGCTTTGGATGGCAGTGTTTAAAAAAAAAAGTCCTTTGTCATTTATGTACCTGAGATTTCAAAAAAAAAAAACAAACCCTAGTTTACAAGTCAGGCCTTATAATTTCAGAGGACCATATTCTGTTGATCTCTCGTTTTCTTTTTAAAAGAATACTATTTTGTCATTATAGAAAATACAAAAAAATGAAAAAAATTGTTAGCCCATGATCTTGCCATGGAAACTCAACTTCTTTAGGGTGTAGCTTTCCTATAGCATTTTTCTTAAAGCCTCAGCATCCCTATTTAAAAGAGACATACAAAACCAATTTGTGCTATATAGCAATTAAAAGGCAGCAGTAGTAAAGTGTTGCAAAAAACTGAGCTGGTGTAATCTTGGTTCTAATTAAATTGACCTATTAAGTAAGGCTTTCTGTTGTAAACTTCTTTTAAAAATATTCTTCTAAAATGAACCAATAATCTCCCAATTCAGCAAGAGAGGGTGATGAATATAACTTACTATCATTTGTTATTTTTGTTGCTTGAGGAGGTTGTTTGATCCTGATCCTCTATGACATAGTTTGTGCCCATGACAGTATAATCCTGAGGCATGTAGGTAACAGACAGATGTGGGTGACTGATCATTTGTACAGACTTCAAAATGTAGTTAAAAAAAATAAATCTCTGACTTTAAAATACATACTATACATGCTGGCTTTGGAAGTTGAGGAGAGTATCAGGAGTCAAGGATGTGAGTGACTTCTAAAAGACAAGACAAGGAAAGGGAGTTCTCTCCTAGAGTCTCCAAAAGGAAAACTGATACCTTAATTTTAGCCCAATGAGACAGATGTTGGACTAGAGAACTATAATATATTTGTGTTCATGTGCCAAATTTTGTGATATAGTCATTGGTGACAGCAGCCATAGAAAACTGATTTACCTGAAGTGGCAAACAAGGCGTTGTTCCATCAAAGATGTCTTCTGAAAAAGCTGAGATAGGATCTTTCAGGAAAAGTTCTTGTTTGTTTGTTTAAAGATTTATTTTATTTATTTGAAAGAGTTAGAGGGAGAAAGAAAGCGAATCATCTTTCATTTGCTGGTTCACTCCCCAGAGGCCTCAGTGGCCAGTTCTGGGCCAGTCTGAAGCCAGGAGCCAGGAGCTTCCTCTGGGTCTCCCACTGGGTACAGGGGACCAAGGCACTTTGGCCATCTTCCACTCCTTTTCCAGGTGCTTCAGCAGGGATCTGGATGGGAAGTGGAGCAGCCAACAATCAAACCAGTGCCCATATGAGTTGCTGATGTCACAGACAGTGGCTTCACCCACTAAGCCACAGTGGCAGCCCCAAGTGTTTTATTTTTAACTGTTATTAATTTCAAGTAATCTCTATAGGACTCTGTAATTCTAGTTCTAAAGGAAAGCTATGAATTAAACCAATGATTCACAAACTTAAGTGTATGTAAGAATTACCCAAAGAGCTTGTTTTTTGTTGTTGTTGTTTGAAGATTTATTTATTTATTTTGGAAGTTAGAGTTACACAGAGAGGGAGGGAGAGATTCTATTCACTGGTTCACTTCATGAATGGCTGCAACAGCCAGGGCTGTGTCAGGCCAGGTCTAACCCAGGAGTCCTGAACTTACTCTGGATCTAACACATGGGTGGCAGGGGCCCAAACACCTGGGCCATCCTCTGCTGCTTTTCCCAGGCCATCTGTAGGGAGTTGGATCAGAAGTGGAGCAGCCAGGACACAATGGGCACCCACCTGGGATGCCAACAGTCCCACCTGCTATGCCACAACGCAGGTCCTGTAGAGCTTGATGCAACACATTGCCTTACTCCACCTTCAGCGTTTCTGACACTGTTGGTCTGAGGTGGGACCTGAAAATCTGCATTTTTGACAAGTTTCCAAGTGATACAGATGCTGCTGATCAAGGAGCTACAATTTGAGAATCATTAGACCAAACAATCTCTAAATTCCTCTCCAGTTCAATTATTCCAGTTTTATGAGAACGGATACTACAATTAGGAGTAGAATTATCAGTGTACATGTTCAAGTATACATTAACTACAGTTTCTAAAATTGATGTTCCTCCACATTAGTATGATCAACTCATAATCTGTAATATCATATATCCTTTCATGCAGGATTCAGGGCCTAGAAATTTTCAGATTTAGGACATGCCTCTGAAGTTTATTTATTATATATACCCATATTTGGTATATTTGCAGATACTCAGTTTGTATTCTTTCTTTTTTATATATATGGTATTGAAGCTCAGGGATGTTACTAAGCATGCTTTTGAATATCAGAAATATGACTAATTGTAAAACCAGTTTTCTGAGTTATACATTTAGTTTTCATTAAAAGTCTGACATTATTAAATATCTAGCATTATTATTTAAGTTAAGCAGATTGCACTCAGCTTTCTGCTAACTTGTTGCCATAATAACCAGAATTTAATTCTAGCATAAAAGATAAACATAATAGAGAAAAGTTAGACTACTTTAGCTTTGAATTGAGGTAATTACAGTGGATAATAACCTCCTTAATCTTTTCTAATAATTGCATTAAAGGAAATTTGGAAAAAGAAGGGAAAACATTCTGCCACCCAGAATCCAACCCTAGAATTTTATCTTTTCCAACATCGTTGTATTGATGTAATTATATGCATCCTGGCATTATATCTTGGACCTGCTTTTCTTCCAAACTCTAATTCAAGCTTCCCATGTACAACCACAAGCCATTATAACCATTTGCAATCTTACTGTGATCCCTGAGTCCTTGGATTTCTTCATTTGTGCTTTTTATATTTATTCCTATTTATTTTTAGAATGTTGATTATTTATTTCATGTATTTGTAAGGCAGAGATACAAAAAGAGATAGATTTCTCATCTACTAGTTCACTCCCTAAATGCCTGCAGCAACCAAGGCTGAACCAGGCCAAAGCCAGGAATTAGAAACTCAATCCAAGTCTGCCATGTGGGTGGTGAAAGGTCACCACAAAACACTCCAAACACCGGAGTAAGGGAGAAGCTTTATTGTCGGGTGGGGGAAGCCCAATAGGCTGCCTCCCTGTGCAGTAGAAAACAACAGTCTGTACTGGGAGAACAGGTCTTATATGGCTTTGCAGAGGTAAAGAAGTGAGAGCCACAAATACTGTTAGGGCTGGGGTGGAGCTGACGCTTGTTGTTGAGCCCTTTGGTCACCTGACTTTTAGTAAGCCAGGCTGGGCTTAGAATTCAATAATGCAGAAAATGGCGAGAGGACCAGAGCCTAAGGTGGCACCACAGATAAGACCATACCATTTTACTAATAGGTGGCAGAGACCCAATGACCTGTTCTATCAGCTGATACTTCCCAAAGTCTACATTAGCAGGAAACTGGAACTGGGAGTGGAGCTAGGACTCAAAACCAGGCACTCAAATATGGGAGATAGGCATCCCAAATGGTGTCTTCTGCTGTGCCAAATGCCCCCTCTACCAACACCACTTAGTGTAGGTAGACTCTTTGGAACATTGGTTGTTTTATTATTCCTTGATTATATACTTACCTCCTTTGCTTCTTTGTCCTTTCCTGCATTTCTTTTCCCAGAATCCTAAATCTGAGTAAAAACCTCATTATTGGGACATAAGAAGGTAAGAGTGGCTGAAGAGTCATTCAATAATTATTTTAAAGCACCGTGGCTGCCACCTCATAGGGAATGTGTGTTCTACCAGCCTTCCTACAAGGTTCTCAAATGGACATGCTCTCAAACTGTATACTACAACTATTTCAAACTTTTTCCCCATTACTTTCAACAGAATTTCTACTTCACACAGAAAAGGGTGCCACAGATGAGGATTTCCTTGGTCTGCGAAAACTATTTGCATTCTGTACCCATCCATTCTGTTTTTTTTTTTTTTTAATTTCCCACTGTTACCATAAAGGCAGAGTTCATCCTTTAACTCAAGGAACTTATATATATATATATATATATATGTATGTATATATGATATATATATATATATATATATATCCTATGTGTCCCTTACCCTATTCCCTTGTGAAGATTCCCACTCTCCTTAGCCTACTACAATTTATCTTCTCTGGAGCAAAAGTGTTGGCCCTAGTCTTTATAACCTTTGAGATTTATTGCTATACCACACATATAAAGAGCCTTACAGTCAATTCACCAGCATAGCTATAGCTTACTTAAATTGTTCAGACATGTATTTGGGGCCAGAGTTGTGGTGCAGCAGTTTAAGCCACCACTGTGATACCCACTTCTGATATCAAAATGCCTTTTGGAGTCCTGGCTACTCCTCTTCCAATCCAACTTTGTGCTAACGTGTCTAGGAAGCAGCAGATGATGGCTCAAGTACTCGAGTTCCTGCTATCCTTGTGGGAGACCTGGATGGAGTTCCTGGCTCCTGGCTTCATTTGGGGAATGAATTAGCAGATGAAAGATTTCCTCTCTCTCTTTCTGTCACTCTGCCATGCAAATAAATTAATAAATAAATCTTTTAAAAGGACATATTTGGGAGTCCTCATATCATGAATCTGTTCTATATAGTTTCAGT